TTAAAATAAGATTCTTTTCTTCTTACAAACGTATAACACAGAATCGTATGTAACCTTTATTTCGGTTAAAAATTGGGACGTTCCATTGAGGTTTTCCGCTTTAAAAGTAAGAATGAATAATTCTTCCGAACGAAGTTCTACGTAATATATATGCTGAAAGAACGATTCTTCATCTAAATATTTCGCACACCAGCTAGTATGTATATGCTAATGCATTGTTTTATGGCTTTAATGCTTTAAATCTAAAAATGTTTAATTTTAAGGTAAATGAAAATACCAGAAGGACATTGTGTCGTTCGCATTCTTAAAAGCCTACCTGACAACAAAAACCAATTTTGGACCAAAGTGAGGGGAAAAAAGTAGATTATATGCCATGATACATATATATAGAGCAACTATAAAACAGACACATGCAGTATATTGTTGATTTTTGTATTAAGGCAGAAACTTAAACGCTATGAAGTAGGCAATAACAATTTTTGCGCTGTCGTTGTTGTCGTTGATTCTTCCCCACTGTTTCTTTTTTTTGCTCATGTTGTTTTTGTTGTCTGCTACTTGCCGCTTTTTATGGAAGGCGTACGCCGCACGGCGCCAACCAGCCGGCAAAAAGAACACCATGATGAGTCATCGTCCTCATCCATGGAATTTAATTTTGGAGCTGACAATTCGCCAGTTAGCCAGGCCTTAAAGCCTTAAACCATTGGCCCAGCGGCTAAAGCTTATTGTAATGTATATAAATGGCTATATTACATTGCCTTTTACAACTCAGTTATACGTTGATTTTATTTATACGAGTATTGTGTGCTTTGTCGATGCGCTCGTGAGTGTGTTGCCATTTATGGCTATTAAAACACAATAATCGCCACAAACATTCCCATACAAAATCACACAAACACACTCCCTCACACACATACACACACACACACATACTCGTACGTACATACATAAATAATAAGTTGGCCCAATGATTGCGCAATATGCACACAGGCCGGCGAGCACACAACGAACTATGAAACGACATTCATGATGACGACAACAGGGGCAGGGGCAGCGGCAATGGCAACGACGACGGCGACGACGACGTCTCATGTAGGCAGTTATTGATTTATTGACAGCCGAGATTGCCGAGACGTTAACATGGCAAAAAAAAAAAAAATAGTAAAGGCAGGTTTACTTTTTACTCTCAGGAACAGTTACTTTGGAATAACATTAAAATAAGGCACTTAGGGATTTTCCGCTTAAGTTTGGATACAAATTAGCCCACGTATTCGTATGAAGAAGTTTGCGGGGAAGAAAACGGAAGCGGTATAAATTCCTATTTACAAAACCTAATAAACTTTGGACGAATTTCCAACGCATCTAAATTCAAACTTAATAATTATATAATTTTTAAATTTTTATTTATAAAATCCAATTTACAACTAGCATGCCTTTTAGGTTTTCCCTAAAGAGTGGTTAAAAAAAAATAAAATAAATTGATTTATGTTTTCTTACAAAAATATACAAATCAGGAAATTATTTAGGAAGAGTAATTTTTGGTAGATAACTCATTTACCATTAAAAAAATAAGGCTAATGGCATGGAAGCAATGTGGGGAGCACAATTTCTTTAAATAATTAAAATTGTAAAATCAACATCAATTGTAAAGAAGTCTGCAAATTAACACCGTCAAATAAACACCTTGGCCCTTATCTACTATTACTTCTAGCCCACTGACATGATCCTCAAATGCTAAAAAAACATATTAATTGAAATGTGATTGTTTCGAAAATAAATCACACATTTTGTTTTGCTTGTAACGTATCAGTTTTTAAACTATTTTGAACAATATGACTGCTCGACTTGTACAAAAATTGTTCACTTAGCACTAAGCCCATTGTTTTTTTTTAAACTCAGTCCTTTCTTCTTTTTCTTTCGCTGTAGAAAAGTTAAATAAATTATTAACGATGATCTTTGCGTATTAAATGGAAATATCTAGAAGTTCGATTGCTGTGAATTATTTGTGTGATATTAAAGCTCATGTATTGTGCCCCTATCTTCGACAAAGTATCATAAATCTTGCGCAGCAGCTGTCTAATTGCTGTTGACAGCTGCTTTATAGGCAGGATCCTAAAGTCAAGTCTGCAGCAGCCGTTGCCATCAGGCAGCCCGAAATTAGCACACAACATGCCCGAGCAGCGAATTCGCGTCAGTTCTGACACATATCAATTAAGCACGCCCTTAAGATGTTTAATTTATGACATAACAACACACACACACAGACACACAGACACAAACACTCACATCCGGCAACACCTTTGGCAGAGGCTCACATGCGCCTCAGAGTTGGCTACAGTAACCGTTACAGTATACATTCTATATTGCTGCTTATTAGACAAATAAGTTTTAGAACATATTAAAAATGTGATGGTTTCAGCTACGCACCACTTCTTTAATAATATTATTTTATTTAGTCTTAAACCTTTATTCATTTATTCCTTTCATTTATTTCGTGGTACATTATTCATTTAACATTATTGCTTGGGATGCAGGTTTAGAAACTGAATCCGGCGCTTAGCTTGTAATGGATAGGTGAAAATATATTAAATATTGAAATTATATAGTTTCAAAGTTTGTTTAATAATGTTACTTCATCTATTGCTATCATATTTGAAGTCAGATTACTAAAACTAGTTTATTTACTTTATTTTAATTATTTGTAGAAGTATAATATACTTTTAAAAGGGGTTTTGGGATCATTGAAAATAACAAATCTGAAATTTTCAGTTAAGGTAAAACTAAGAAGTTAGTTGAAACGACAACGATTAATCCTCTTGGAAAAGCAGTTGCCAATTATTGCATTTGAGGTGACAAAGGAACTTATACAACTGTCTTGTTTTGAGCGCTTGTGATTGGAGTTCACACTACGGAGGCTGTACTGTGTATCTCTCTCAACTCATCTGCCCGCTGTTGGCGCTGTCAAGGTTAAATGCTGAAATTTTAATTTGGTTGCGCTGTGGCGCTCTTCTAATTGTCAGCTCTCAAAGGGCAGACCGTGGGGGTTAGGATGGGTGTGGGATGATTGCACATTCATGCACATGTGAGTGTTCCTCGAAGCTACACCTCCTCCTCCTCCCCTCAATTTGTATACGTTAGTGGGCCCCCTTTACTTTTTGCTCGCATTTGGCTTGGAAAATTAGATTTCCTTTCTGCAAAATTGCAATTCCGAATGCCTTTTTTGGCATGCTGAACAGAGTGCCAACAAAATCAGCCCATATACGAGGAGGGGGGCTGAGAGCTAAAGCATGTGCAAATGAAATATAAAAACTTTAGTTTTCCCTGGTATTTTTATTTAGTTTGTTTTTTTTTTTATAGTAGCATACCATGTTTGTTCAAATATTTTGAGGGGGTTGGCATTTTAGGAAACGGTAGAATGGGCAAAACAATTTGCAAATGTAACTTAAAATCCAATAAAGCTATTTCGTGCTGACGAACAAATTAGGGAGATGTGCTTGCATGTTTTAATTGCAATAACAATGTGCAATAAAATTATTATTATTTCTTCTCGGACTTTGCTTTTGAAGTATTAATAAGGGAAGGCAGGGGCCTTGCCTTCTTTAGTAAAAGAAGAAGTCAGATCTATCTTTCAATTAAGCAGTCGCCACTGAACTACAACTAAAGGCAAGCTATTATTATTTTCATATTCATTTTTTGAATCTAAACTATATAAGTACCATTTTCTTTTTTGGTCTATGACGCAATTTTCTTCCTTTTTTCGAAACGCATTTCATATAGAATTGAAAGCCACCATGCTTGCTGTTAATTAGAAGAAGCTTGCCATAGGATTCTATTTCTAAACGATATGTCCAGATTTCATATACCCATGAATACAGAATTATTACTTAAGGCTAGTTTTAGGCTCATATATTGCATAATTCTTATCATACATACTATGAACTATGACAGAAGATCCAACTGAGAATCAGAAAAGGTATTTGTTTTATGGTGAAAGGAGGATATTTTTAGAAACACATTGAAAGATTTCGCTTACTCATTATTATGACCAATTTTGTATTAACAAATGAGTGTAATATTAATATTATTTGTTCTGAATTTATTTTATTTATTTCATATCGAAATAAAAAGATCGACATAGAATGAAATGTTGGTAAGATGTGGAATGACAAAGATAAGAAGATTACAGCAAGTGTATTATCATCTATCAAGGAACAAGATTGCAGTATATCGCTTTATTTTAATAAATGAACCAAATCCAACCAAAGATTATGATTGCTGAGTAGCTGTTTCCATATTTGCAGTTGTATTAACTATGTGGACTATTTAGTTGAACTTTTGAAAGGCACATGAGAAACCGCTACCATTTCTCCAATCTGGCAATAATACATGCTAGAGACTGTTACTAGACAGTCAGGATATCCCAATACTAAGCACGTAACATGCTTCAACCAATTTATTCCACTCAATACGTGGCAACCTCAAACGGAAGGTCAACGAAGTAAATGACAAAGTGGTATATGGACAACAACAATTTGAAGACAAGACAAAAACTTTTTAAGCTACACAACTTGCCTTCATGGCTGACCGACCGACCGCCGCCTGCTTCTCGCAACCCCCCGTGTCAACAAACTGACGCAAACAGCTTTGGCATACGTAAGCAGCAAAAAGTCGAGTTTAAAGAGTGTTGAGTGTGGGGGGAAATACTCCAAGCCATGAACTTTGACACTAGGCAGTCCGAGCAATAAAAGCAGAACTAAAAAATAGACAAGCACAATAACAACAACAAACAGAGTTCTATTTGACCTTCGTTGGTAGAACACACGCGACTCCTGTAGCAAAAAAAAAAAAAAGAATGTCGGCTAAAAGAAATGCTAATACTCGCATGCAGGTAATAAGTTTGAACGACTTGTTATTCAGCCAAATTGTTACCAAGCTAAATAGTAGTAGTTTTGGTAGTAAGAACGACTACTATTTTCCACATTTTCTTTCATTCCTTTCCTTACCCGCTGGCAAAATTCCCGGTGCTCGGCAGGTATGGCAGAAGCACTGCATTACCGAATCGCGTACTAATCCAATCAGCATGTTGACTATTTTTATCGAATGTCGTAGTACGTTAGGGAGTAGATTTTTATTTACTGTTTTTAATTGTCGCTTTGCGCTAAATTTGAATAAAACGGGATATGTTTTCTCTTCTCTGATGCTTACAAAATTCCACTAAAATATTCAAATACGAGTACTGTTCAATTGTTGTTTTGTTTGCGTTTATTACATAAAAAACTAATGACGTATTTGTATTTTAAACAGTCTGCGACCACTTGCTGCTGCTTTATTGTTGTTACTATTGTTGTTGTTGGCTAATTTTGTGCGCCAGAAGACAAAGTAAATATGCTTTATGTATTAGACGTATGTATGTTGTTGGTGTTGGTGTTGTTGATGCCGCTACAACTAAACTAATGTGGTGTGTTTATTTATTAATCTTGCAGTTTTTTGCAATTTATGGAATTTTTGTGTTTTAACGACGCGTTTCTGCTGACGCTATTGTCTCGCAGCAAAGAGAGTCACGACACGGAACGTAACGAGCGCAACGAACGACAAAGACAAACTAAATTATGCCCATGTTAATTTTTCAATAGCTGGCGCCTTTCTGCTCACCACTCGCGCTCGTTGACGTCTCTAAACGACGAGCGGGCGAGCGACCTAACGAGCGAGGGAGCGAGCGCACGACAAGGACAATGCACAAAAGGACAAGCACCGACTTTGGGGAGCAGAAAAGCTAACGGCAGTGGCACATAGCACCCCCAAGGCAAGCAGAGCAGAGCAGACAGCGAGAGCGAGCGACCGTTCCGTACGAGGGGTGAGCACAACTAGACAAAATAAAGAGCAAAGTTCTAAAAATTTCAGTAATTTTCGAAAATATTCGAAAATTAAAGACTAAACTGCATTTAAATTAGGATTTTTTTTTAGATTTTTCAAGACAAACATGGAATTTTTTTCAAAACTGTACAAATATTTGCTTGTTGGAGTTTTACGAAATTTCGAACACCTTTCTGGAATTCGCTCTGCACATGCGCAATAAAAAGTAGAGAGCATTCAGTGGGTGGCAAACAGTCTGACTGTGAGTTCCATAACGCAGACGTTAAACCAGAATCGGTTTGACAGAGAGAGAGAGAGAGAGAGAGAGAGAGAGAGAGAGAGAGAGAGAGAGAGCGAAAGAAAACGAGACCGAGTATGGGCGCACCACTGCATGATTGGGGGGAGTGCAGTTCAAAAAGCCGGCTGATTTCATATTATTCGAAAGGTTTGGGCCATGTGTGTATGGCCTTACTAATATTTCCACCATTTGGTAAAATATTTTAGCAAATTTTTTAGAAATACATATATAGTTAGTTTATTGTTCTTTTGTATTAAAGAATATAATACCTCCAATCAAGGATTTTGATTTCAGCAATGCAATTTTTGGTTGGTTGAACTTATTGCTAGAGCTATAAAAGTTGCAGGTATATCCAACGTATTTATTTATAAATGGTTCAAAATTTACTGATTTAAATACAAATTATTTGGGGCTATTGCTTTATTATAATAAAACTTTCAAAAGGATAATGAAAATGATAACATCAAATTTTCAGTTATTTTCAAAAACACTTCTGTACCCTAACTATTTCGGTATTTGAAGCTGGCAATGCCGTTAACGCCAGAGAGCGCATTGTTTTTAGAGAAGACGCAGTACTGTTCCCACACCTCTATCCCAACTAGTGGAACCAACACACAATACGCAGAACAATTTGCTTTTGACTGCGTTCTGCCGCAACACATTTTCGAATATCGAAAAAAAATATTAACTGCAATTAAATTAGATGGCTGTGGCAGAGCGGTTCAAACTCAGAGCGTAATAGCGGAAAAAGGACGATGGGCACAACAATCTGCGAGAAGCAACAATAAATTAAAAGACGATGACTCAAAAAGCCAAAAGCCGAACAACAGTAAAACGTTCGCCGCCTTAGTCCTGGTAGTGTGAAGCTGGCGACGTGGCGGCAACATTGACGGCCCAAGGCGTACAAGGATATAGAGCGGCAATTTAAATACCAGAACGGCGCCAGCAAACTAACCGCATGGACAACGATGGCGGTGGCACCGGGGCCGGCGATGAATCACAAAAGGCTCGGTCCAGCAAATGCCTGCAAGCGGAAGGAAAACGCCGACAACACCAGCGGCGATATATGATAGAGTTGTTCGAATCGAACTTGTTCAATGACTGAATGTCCTAATCACCTACAGCGTGGGGTAAGTATATTTTTATTCCGTGATTAAACTTAAAAGATTTCAGAATTTACTACGTATTACAAAACTAATATTGTTCTAAGTACTAATTTTGTAAATATACTATAATACTAAATAATAGGAAATAAAGGGTCCTATTTCTTGAACTAAATATCAAAGACACACTGAAAAAACCTTATCAAAATGATTTTGCTTAACAAAATTGAAGGAATGAAAAATAGGTATTAGATTTGTGAAAAAATATTTAATAGGCAGAAAAAGCAGCCCGACCCACATATTTTATTTATTATTATATACAGCTACTTATTTTATTGTTATATTATTAAAAATTATATTATTTTCGTGTAGATCTCTTGAACTCGGTTTGAGGAGTGGATTAGAGATATTTGTGTCATAATTAAAACAGTAAAATGTTTCTTTGAACATTTTGGTTTTTGACAAATATAATTACGTAAAGGGAACTAGTTCCCACAACACTATCCTCATGCTCTTACACTCGCCTACATGGGCAAACAATGTTTAGGGTATGGTATTGGCGTCATTCGTTGCTGTTGTGTCACGTGCAGTTTCTTATGGTATGGGCTGCCAGGAACATGGAGGCAGGATGATATATATGTGTGCACGTAAATATATATGCTCGTATGTGTAGGAAGGTAGGTTGGTTGGTTCGTTGGGTTCGTGCTATTGGCAGACAACAGAAATATCATGACAGCAGCTTGTCGAACCATCGCACCAATTGTTCAACAATATTAGTTGTTGATTCTGTGGGGCTAGATAGGTTCGGGTCTGGGGGCTGCTGAGTTCGTTTTGAATTTGAATTGGTTTAGAAATCATTTGCCGGCAAACAACGTGCTCCCCATGCACATCCACAATTTGGTGTTGGCTGTGGGTGTTGTTGTGCGGCAGAGGGGGCCAGGAGGCTGGGAGGCATGTGTCATAAGTGTGCGCGGTTTCAGAGGACATGGACATTATTATATAACGGCGTCAGATTGTGAACATTTGTGTTAAACGTTGGCAATTTAACACGAATTGTGTGTTAAAGATGCAAAATGTTTTAATGATAATATTGCTATGAGTAGTTTTCAACTCACGTGGATGTGGCACGCGTTTAAGCGTGAAATTTCGATAAGACTTACCTGAAAGGAAAGAGAAAATTGCATTAGATAAGTTATAAACGATTTTCTGTTTAAACCAATACAGATAATATACAAGTATTCGCTTGGTAGCACAATTTTGTATTTTTCTGACTAATCAAGTGTTTTCCTGCTGCTCTTCATTTGTACAATAAATAGTGAAAATGCAATTGCTCATTTAAATTCTCTTAGTTTTATATCTCACTTATTTAATTAGATTTATTTTATTAATAAACTGGCTTCATGAGTTTCTGCTTAAGGAGAGCCAGCACAATAAAACTCTTACGATGACCCGAATATTGTATCACTTATCTGAATGGCTCATAACTAAATAACTCTACAACATAATCCACTAATGCATGCATTGTACTTGACCCTCACTTCAATTGCAATTCATCTGCTACTCCAACTGTCACTTCCACTGCAATTGAACAGCTCACTTAATTACACTACACGCACACTTTAAATAGTGCAAAAAGCGTGATTAAAATGCAATTTGAATTTCTTTTTTACACTAACTTGCCTGATGATACTCACGAGGCGTGAAATTAAATGATTAGGCGTTTGGACCAGCAGCATGAGGATGACAGTGAGTAACTGCAATGGCTAAACGCTTTCGCAAGAAACCGCAAATCATGCAACTCCTTAATTATATCATGATGCACATGCATCCGGGCCGACAACTAGATGCGGCAAGCCAGGGGCTAAGTGCAACAGCAATTTCCATTCCCCACCCAGCTTGCTGTTCTAGGCACCACTTCGCTTGTCTCAAGTGCTGCCAATGCCACAGAATTAACTGCTTAGCTGGTAGACGAAATCATAACATTTATTTTGCAGACAAACAACGAACAATGTGGCACGCCCCGCACCGCACCTCACCACCCACTGTTTAAATGTGCAACATGGCGTATGAGCACGCCACGCTTGTCGTTCGCTGTTTGCTCACTCGTCTTGATAGCATGTGCTGATTGACACCACGTGCCGCCTCTTGCCGGTTCCTTAAGTTTTGCATAAATTCTGCATGGCAGAAAAACTAAACACTAAAATATATGTATGCATATAAACATGTTCATGCATACTTATGTATATAGGCAGATAAGGGAGACCATTTCTAGCAACGATAAACGGGAATTCTATGCTGCGAATGGATTGTCAACTCAAGTCATTTTGCAAAGCAAATAATAACGGCCTAATAAAAATAAATATTTTAAAGCTAACCAGCAATTACTGATTGTGTAAATATAGAACATATGGTTGCAACGTATGTACTAATATATTTATCAATTAAAATTAGGATACGGCTAAAATATATCAATGTTAAAGTAGAAGAAAAACGAATTGGTAATATAGAAATCGAAGCACGTACATCGTAGAGTATATGAGATATTTTCAAAATCAATTACTATTTATAATAGAAGATTCTATTATATATATTATATATAGCGACTAAGATATATCATTGTTAACCCTTAGAAGAAGGGGAACCAATTGGTAATATAGAAATAGAAGCATGTACATTGTAGAGTATATGAGTTATTTTAAAAATCAATAACTATTTATAATAGACATTTTTATTATATACTCGTACTTATTTCCATCGAAAACAACATTTTTAAAAGTGTAAAATCCTTATGGCCTCATATTAAGTATCAAAGCCTTCGGTTTTATTTTTAATGGGATATATGTATACTTAAAATTATCCATATACACATATACTTTGCACATTTACAATATTAAACAAAGTTAATCATAAAAGATTGCGATCAGAGACTTGATATTTATGTATCACCTCTGCTTATGTCTGCTATTGCCATGGTTCTTTCCTTCCTTCCGGTATTGATGTGAAGACTATGGATTGATATTGGATCTGTATTTTTTATCAATTATAAATACTACCTTTTTTTATTCAACAAAACAATATTAGACTCCTTAGCATCTCAACAACTATTTAAATATTTTGATATACATAGTACATAGTACATAGCACATAGAAGTGTGGAAAAAATGTTCTCTAGTTATGGTCACCCTGATGCACCATTCTCTATATGTTTGTGTACGAGTATTTTTATAGTTTTGTGTCTGCCACCGCCTGATTTCGTCATCGCGGCTTGACTC